TTTTGCTGTTTTTTTTTTTGTTTTTTTTTAATTTTTAGGAAGGTTGTGCCAAGGTAGATGATGGCATCCAGCTGCTTGTAGAGATGTTTCCATCCTGCAGTCTGTCAGTCATGCACAAAGCTCTGTCTGTGGCTAAAGGCAACTTGGATTATGCCGTGCAGTTAATAATGGAGGGTGCGGTGAAGCAACCCAACACTGCGACTATGGAGGTAAGTCCATTAGGCATTTAAGTGAGAGAGCAAAACATTAAATTGTCTGCATTGGTGTTATTGTAACTGTAATATTAAGCTAATAGTTCAATGGTTATTCCTAATGTTTTTACCGTGCTTTAAACTGGAAGTGATCTCACCAATATACACATTTAATTACTGCACTGGGGATGTGTCACCCAGTGCCAGAAATGGAATATTGAGGGAACCCTCCGCATTCAGCAGATCACTACTGAGGGGGCGCCGCACTGCGGGAAGGAGCAATGATGATATGTTTGCGTCTAATTTAAGCCATAATGACAGCGTACAATTAGTATCACCACTACTATTATCTCAGCCCTCTTCCTCCGTGGAGATGCTTGTATACTGTCTGATCCTTTGAGCATTTCCATTGAGAGCACCTTCGTCTTGATAGGGGGACCCATGGCAGCAAGGCTGAGGCTTCTGAGGGGTCCCAGTCTCAGGAAAAGGCAGGCCACTTAGGACCGGGATTGGAAGAATTTTCATCTCTCGCAGCGTAGTGAACTTGCAGAATTCTCTACCACATAAGACAATGGAGGCCAAGTCTCTGAATATATTTAGGGAAGGATGTAGATTTCTAGACAGTGAAGGTATCAAGCGGCATAAGAAGACAGCAGAATTATTGAAGCTTTGAGATAGAGAATCAGCCATGATTATGTTGAATGGCAGAGTAGACTAAATGGCCTACTCTTGCCCCTATTTCTTCTGACCACATGCTAAGTCCTGTGGTGATGGGGGAATTAGTGATAGGGTCAAGACTGTGAACTTGGAAATCCTTTTGAATTTGTGCATAGGCAAAAGATGCTGAACATCGTTGGACATCTGCGTTTGGACGGAGCTATCTTTGGTCACAGCATTTGTCAATTGAACAGATCTCTTCACGATCTCCTTCGTTAATCCCAAATTGGCAAGGGCCCAGAAAAAGTACAACAAAAATAGGTCGTCGTCGCTACCAAATCCAGGAAGTATGCTAAGGAAATCCTTCCAGAGAAACCTCTAACGTGAAGGTCTTTGTGACGAGAAAAATCCAAAAAAAGTGTGGAGAAATACACCAGAAACTCTTCATTGCTTTCATCAGTCTGACTGAGGGATTTGACTCTGTAAATTGCAAGGTTGTGTGGATTGTGTTCCAAAGATTTTGATGTCCGTGAAACTTTACCTCGACTGCTTCATGGCTTGACTACAACTGTCTTGAGTGGGAGATCTGAAACAAATACAACATCAGGACCAGGGTTGAGCAAGGCTGTTTCTTAGTCCTCATACTATTTCATTTCAAAGAGCAACTGCCAGCACTATCAATATTAAATACTGCCTCAATGGAAAACTCTTTAACCTCAGTTGCTTCCATGCCAAGACTAAACTCACGACAACGGACATACAGTTTATGGATGACTGTACTGTCATTGCTCACTCTGTCCCAGGGTTGCAATTTTCTAAGTCAGTTCAGTTTTGTACACGAGACTGGAACAGTCCTAGATATTTCTCATTTATTCTGCATCATTGGTAAGGCTGTCATTTTATTGCCTGCCTCTTACCAAGTGTCTTGCTAGGGCAGTTTCACAGGGCAGGTTAAAGTCAACCACATTGCTGCAGATCTGAAATCATACATAGGCAAGACCGGGTAATGATGGCAGGTCTCATTCCATATTGGTGAACTAGCTGTTTTTTTTTTTTCAAACAGTCGGTGATGATTCATGGTCACCATTGTTGAGACTAGTTTTTTTTAAATTCCTGATTTGACCAGTTGAATTAAATTCCACCAGTTAGTGTGATGGGCTTTGTGAACCTCTGTCTCCAGAGCATTAACCTGGGACTTCCTGATTATTTGTTCCGTCACGTTACAACTTTGCAACCATCACTGCCATAGAACTCCCATATGAGTTGAGACCAGTCAAATATTCCACCTCTCATACAGGTTTAAGGAGAGACTCTGGAATATGTTAAGCCATTCCAGACCTTGGAATGCACAGTCATCGAGTCTTGCAGCACAAAAACAGACCCTTCAGTTCACCCAGTCTGTACCAATTCCAATTTAAACTAGCCCCACCTGCCTGTTCCTGGACCATATCCCTCCAAACCTTTCCTATTCATGTCTTTTAAATGCTGTAATTGTCTTCCAGAAGTTCATTCCACAAGTGGCCCACCCTCTGTGTGGGGGGGAAAAAAGTTGCCTTTTATGTCTTTTTTTTAAAATCTCTCTCATCTCACCTTAAAAATGTGCCCCCTTGTTTTGAAATACCCCATCCTAGGGAAAAGACAACAATCATTTAACTCTATCTGTACCTCTCATTATTTTATAAACTTCTATCAGGTCACCTGTCAACCTCCTACGCTCCAATCATAGAATCCCTACAGTGTGGAAACAGGCCCTTCGGCCCAACACGTCCACACTGACCCTTGGAGCATCCCACCCAGACCCATACCCCTATAACCCACCTAATCTAGGCATCCCTGAACATTACAGGCAATTTAGCATGGCCAGTCCACCTAACCTGCACATCTTTGGGCTGTGGGAGGAAACTGGAGCACCTGGAGGAAACCCACGCAGACACGGGGAGAACGTGCGAACTCCACATAGACAGTTGCCTGAGGTTGGAATCGAACTCTGGTCCCTGGTGCTGTGAGGCAACAGTGCTAACCACTGAGCCACCATGCCGCTGCAGTGAAAAGAGTCCCAGCCTATCTAGCTTTTCTCTATAACTCGAACCTTCCATACCCAGCAACATCTTGGTAAATCTCTTCTTAACCCTCTCCACCTTAAAATATCTTTCCTATAACTGGGCTACCAGAACGGGATACAACATATCAGAAGAGGCCTCACCAAGGTCCTGGGCAACCTCCACATGACTTCCCAATTCATATACACCCAAGGAGTGAGCAATGAAGGCAAGTGTGCCAAGTGCCTCTTTAACCACTCGTCTATATGTGACACAACCTTCAAAGAATTATGTACCTGTGCCCCAAGGCCCTACCATTAATTGCATAAGCCCTACCCTTATTTGTTGTACCAAAATGCAATACCTCGCATTTATCCAGATTGAACTCCATTTGCCATTTTTCAGCCCATTGACCTAGTTGATCAAGATCCCTTTGTGATCTTAGAAAACCTTCTTCACTGTCCCTTATGCCACCAGTTTTGGTGTCGTCCACAAACTTACTAACCATGCCTTCTATAGTCTCATCCAAATCATTTATATAAATGACAAACGAAAGAGGACCCAGAACCGATCCCTGTGGAACACCACTGGTCACGGGCCTCCAGTCCGAAAAGCAACCCTCCACCATTACTCTCCGTCTCCTGCTGTTAAGCCAATTATGTATCCATTTGGCAAGGTCACCCTGAATCCCATGTGACCTAACTTTAGTTTACCATGCAGAACCTTGTCAAAAGCTTTACTAAAATCCAAATAAACGTCTATTGCTCTGCCATCATCAATCTTTTTGGTAACTTCCTCAAAAAAACTCATGAAGTTTGTGTGACCTATTTCCCTCGCACAAAACCGTGCTGACTATCCCTAATCAATTTTTGCCTCTCTAAATGTTCATAAATCCTGTCTTTTATAGTCACCTCCATCAAGTTACCCCACAACTAAAATTAGACTGTCAGGTCTACAGTTCCCCGGTTTCTCTTTACAACCTTTCTTAAACACAGGTACAACATTAGCCACTCTCCAGTCATCAGGCACCGCTCCCACAGTTATAGATGATGCAAATATTTCTGCATAGGGTCTCTCCATTTCCTCCCTTACTTCGCAGAATGTTCTGAGATACATTAGATCAGGTCTTGGAGATTTATCCACCTTTATATTCTCTAACACCTCCCTAACGACCTCTTCTGTAGTGTGAACTGTTTTTAAAACATCTCCCAAAAGGGCACCATTGACAGAGATCCAACGCTGGATAAGCTGCTCAGTACGGCCTTCAAACTATGGCGCAGAGTATTTCACAACAAAGACTTCCACACATTCAACAGAAATGCTACCGTACAGAGCAGCTGTCATTACACTCCTGTACTATTGCGAGACCACTATATGTATGAGTGATACATAAAGGAGCTAGAGAAATTTAACCAGCAATGCCTCCACCACATCCTCCAGATACAACAGAGGATTATTGAACAATTCCTGGTTTCCTCTTTGAAGCCAGTTTCACAAGCATTCAAGCAAAATACTTGATCAACTTTGGACTTGATTTTTGCACCTGGATGGCTGAAAAGTATCTTCCTTCACGCCAGGTCCTTAAAAGACCAGTGTTTCTGGGGAGGACAAAGGAAGCACTACAATGACACTATAACTCCCCTTGAAGCTTGGCAGCATTGCACTTTTGTTTGTCATTTATAAAAATGATTTGGATGAGACTATAGAAGGCACGGTTAGTAAGTTTGTGGATGACACTAAATTTGGCAGTGTAGTGGACAGTGAAGGTTAACTGAGATTATAGAGATCTTGATTGATTGGTTCAATGGGCTGAGGAGTGACTGATGGAGTTTAATTTGGATAAATGTGAGTATTGCATTGTGGTAAGACAAACAAGGGCAGGACTTATCGAATTAATGGCAGGGTCCTGGGTAGGGTTGTAAAACAGAGATCTAGGGGTTCAGGTAAACAATTATTTGACATTTGCATCGCACATAGATAGGGTGGTTAAGGCATTTAGCACGCTTGACTTCATTGCTCAGACTTTTGAGAATAGGAGTTGGGATGTCATGTTGAGGTTATACAGGACGTGGTGAGGCCTCTTCTGGAGTCTGTGTCCAGTACTGGTTTCCTTGTTACAGGAATGATACTATTAAGCTAGAGAAGGTTCAGAAGTGGTTTACCAGGATGTTGCCGGCAATGGAGGGTTTGAGTTATAAGGAGAGACTGGATAGATTGGGACTTCTTTCACTGGAGCGTAGGAGGTTGAGGGGTGACCTTTATAGAGGTTTGTAAAATCATGAGGGACATAGATAAGGTGAATAGCAAAGGTCTTTTCACTAAATTGAGGGAGTTCAAAACTAGGGGGCATATTTTTAAAGTAAGAGAAAAATTTGAAAAGGACACTAGAGGCAACTTCTTTCACAGAGTGATTAATGTGTGGAATGAGCTGCCAGAGGAAGTGGTAGATGCAGATACTGTTACAATGTTTAAAAGATATTTGCATAAGTACATGGAAAGGTTTGGAGGGATATGGGCCAAATGTGGGCCCTGCTTTAGTTTGGGAATGTGGTCGCTGTGGACTAGTTGGACCAAAGGGCCTGTTTCCATTATGTAGACTCTATTGCATTAATGACTGGGAGGAGCTTGTTACTAATTGTTCAAAATGGTGATGACTGCAGCTTAATGGGTCAGTTTTTTTGAGTTAGTGTATTGTTGATGAGGCAAAGTGGCAGCGGAGAGGGGAAGAAAGCAAAAACAAATCCCACATTTTAGGTCTCATTACCTCATGGCATGTCCTGCTCCATGTGCCAAAGCATCTGTGGGTCAAGAATTAGTTTGCTCAGTCACCGTCCCACAACAAAGCCTCGTAATTCTAAGTAGGCATTATCCTTGAATCGAGGAACAGGTAATTATCTCAACATCCAGGCCACCACTTGTTATACAATTCTAATCAAATGATAGTTCTTCATGACTTCAGATACTGCTTCAATTGTTTACATTTTTTATAGTGCAAATGCATACATTACATTATGATGCTGTCTATGTAATCCATGATGTGAGTTGGGGATATTGGGCTGTTTCTTTCTTCTGTATTTCTTAATGCTCTGATATCCGGTATTGAACTGATCCAAAGGGCTGCTCCTGTTTTCTGCACAGGGGAATGCAGCACCTATCATCGTCATACAGCACAGAAACAGACTCTTCGGGTCCAGCTCTTCCATGCCGACCAGGTATCCTAAACTGATCTAGTCCCATTTGCCACCATTTGGCCCATATCCCTCTTAAACCCTTCCTATTCATGTACCCATCTACATGCCTTTTGAATGTGATTGTACCCACCTCTGGCAGCTCGTTCCACATGCCCTAACCTTGCCCTAACACTCCACCTGATCTTCTGTACAATGTTCCCACTCCAAACCTGAGTGAGATTAATCTCTAAATTGCTAAAATGTAGACTGAGTAAGCCAGCTGTCTGGAGGCATTGGCCAATGTAAACAGTGGATGGATAAAGATCGGTACAATGTACTGCAGACTTAGTATGGCATTATTTCCATTCACCTGTGCGAACGTTTTGTTTTTGATTTTCAGGAAACTCATCCCAAAACAGATAAGAAGATCAAAGCGAGCATCTTGGAGAAGTGAGAATTAAGTCTGTGAACAGCATAAGACTTTTATTTGATTGGGACACCAGGACAAAGGGAAGTTGTGACCAATCGATGTTTCCACACGGAGACGTATGGAAACATCGAACAGCAAAGGAATGCAGAATGTAGAGCTGGATGAACACAGCAGGCCGAGCAGCATCAGAGGAGCAGGAAAGCTGACGTTTCGGGCCTAGACCCTTCTTCAGAAATTTCTGAAAAAGGGTCTAGGCCCGAAACGTCAGCATTTCTGCTCCTCCGATGCTGCTTGGCCTGCTGTGTTCATCTAGCTCTACACCTTGTTATCTCAGATTCTCCAGCATCTGCAGTTCCTACTATCTCAGGAATGCAGAATAATGGTTTTTCAAAACAATTTATTGGCCGGGGGGAAAACGTTTACATGAGAAAGAACAAAGTTGGTGGAGTGTGAAACAGACATAGAGAATTTTAGAAGAGAGGTTTTATTTTATAAATGGAGAGCGAGAAGTTGAAAGAATGGCAGAGGATGGGAATAAAGTGGCTGAAAGGTCAACATGGCAAACAGGAGCAGGAGTAGGCCATTTGGCCCAAGGAACCTGCTCCTCCATTCATACAGATCATGGCTGATATACCTCAGTGCTATTTTCCCACAATATTCCTTGATAATTTTAATATTTGGAATTCTACCACGTATACACTCAGTGACTGAGCTTCTGCAGCTCCCTGGGGTAGAGAATTCCAAAGATTCACCTGCTTGAGTGAAGAAATTCCTCCTTATCTCCGTCCTAAATGCTTGGCCCACATCTTACAAGACTATGTTCCTGATTCCCCATGCTAGATCCACCTGCATCCAGCACTATTACTAGACTGGAGAATGAACAGTAATCAACTTTGGGAAGGTAGAGGTAGCACAGAGGATTAGGGAATGGGTTTTAAAAACTCTTCCACGATTTATGAACGATATTGGTAAACACTGTATTTGCTGACCTTCCCAGTTGCCCTTGTAGGTGTATTTGCAGCAAATTTTAACTTCAGATTTTCTGGTTCATGTGGTTGCAAGAATAAAATGGACATCTCCCATGCTTCTGAACTTTGTTTCTAAAGGCAATTTAAAGCAAACTGAGATGTTTCCAAGTGAATTGACAACTGCAACAAAATTTCAGAATTCTTGCGCACATTAGTGTGCAAACTTACAGTTTAGTATCTGAGCCCCTTTGAGGCTTGAACATCAAAGAATCTTTGATATTTTTGTTTGTAACAATTTAATCAGACATTTGACAAGAGAAGTGTGACTTTCTTTAGTTAGGAAAATACAGGTTAAATCAAATAAATCCCAAATTTTCAAATGCCTTGCCCAGACTGCTACAGAGTAAAGTTTTGTGTCCTTTGCACAGACTGAGATTCTTCCTAGGTAAAATGTGTTTTCAATATGGTATTCCAGGTATATGATGGTGGATAATGAGGATGATGTCAAAACATACAAGCCAATTGCACCTAAAGAGGTAAGAGATTATCTGGAGTGTAAATCTTGGATTAGGATTTGAGGGGCATGATTGACACTGCTATCCACATTGAACTTTATTTGCTGCCTGTCGCCCACCATGTGTATTTTAAAATTCCTCAACGACCCCACTCCATCCCACTTCTGTAATCCTTGCCAGCCCTTACATTCTGCAATCTCAACCCTCAATAAACCTTCAACCATAACACACCAGTGCTCTGGAATTGTATCAGATATCAATAAAATCTCTCAGTACAGATAGAGGCCATGTTGATGCCAGATCTTTAAAAGAACTATCCCATGAGGCCCACTCTCCCTGCCCTTTTATCATGGTCTTGCCTTTACGGATCCTTACCAAGTTCACTTTTGAAAGCTGTGATGGAATGTTTCAAATGCCTTTTCAGGCTGTGTATTCTAGATTGAGGTAATTAAGATAATGAGTGCTAAAGTTCCTTTCTCCCATCACTAAGCACACAAGGAAGTTGTTTAAAACCAGGCCAGTTGCTGGTCAATATGATGGACACCTGAGCTGTTAATGTGCCAAACCCCCTCTCTTCAGTGCTAATGGGAAAAGAGTCGAGATTGGGATTAATTTGGACAGTTCTTCCAAAGAAATGTCATGGGCAAGATAGGTTGATAGTTTTCTCCTTCAATGCTATAAGATTGTTTTCTGTTTACAGTTTATGAACTGTGCTGTATTGGTCTCACTGGCTTGTTGTTTCTTTTATTTTTCTGTTGCTGATTTCCAGCAGATATGTTTCCTGTTATTTTAATTGGCCCCTCCTATTCAATCTGAATGAAACACAAGACTTGCCATTTCTTCATGACTACTGCAGTATTGCAGGAGTAACTCCCTGCTAACCAGTGAAAAAAGAGCATTTGGCCCTCCAGGGAGTGTCAGTACAAGCACCTATGGTATTCTGATCTTAACCTACTCTGATGCAAAGTCAACCAAGTGCCTCCCTCTTGATGTAAAGATTATCATTTTGAGTATAGATTAGTAAAATTGAAAATATGGCCTGATAATTTTAACAAAAAAAGTCGAGGAAAGTTTAAAATGGGATGTTGTGTTGCTAATAAATAGGCCCTGGACAATGAAGAACACCAGGCACAGGAAATTCTGGGCTATAAGCTGTTAATGTAATGGTTGGCCTTTGAATGAAGAGGTGCAGAAATGAATTGCATAGCTGAATTAAACAATTAGTTGTGTTTATCATTTTGAAAAGCTTTCCTTTATAATTCAAGAACTAGATGAAATCATTTGCAAAAATGTTTTGAATAATTTGATAGGTCTTGCCCAGGAAGTTTTTGCAACATGATCTTTATACCAGCTTGCAACTTGCTTATAAGTACGTGTCTGCCTGTGCAGTTATGATTTTTTGCTCTAGTTCAACTGTGTTAAATCAGGTGCATATCTGACAGAAATTTCTAACAAGTAGCATGATGCCCAAAATCTTAAACCATGGATCTTGAGCACAAATTGATCTTATTTGTTTGATACACTCACTCATGTTTCAAGTACAATAGTAAGTGTCAAATCCAAGACAACACTCAGATTTCCTCAGCACAGGGGTTTACTGGAATACCTGTTTTTAGAAATAGGTACCCCTGAATCCAAGAAAGTCTAATTAATCTTGACATATTCTATTTACTGAATATTAGCAAGAATGTCAAGGCCTGGGGACAATGCGGAGAACAGTTACCCTGGGGTGAAGGACTTCAGTTACAGAAATCTTGAGAAGCTGGGACAATGGACACAGGCTGAAACAGTCCAAATAATAGAGGGTATGGTGAGCAAGAGGGTATAAGGAGAAGCTTCTTCAAAGGGATTCTCTTCTGCCATCCAAATTGGTTCAATATATTGTTTCTCACCAAATCGGCAGTAAATACTGATTGAGCTATCCAGCAGAACAGGGACAGCCGTATAGCTATCAGGAAGTAATTTTGACCCAGTGACAGTGAAAGAATCGCAATAGTTCCATGTTTGGATGGTATGAGCTCGGGGGCAGCTTGACGTTGGTGGTGTTGGCACACACTCTAGTCACACCAGCTTTGTTTGAAGGCAAAGTACACCTGCTCTAGCCCAGTGCATCTCACAAGTTTTCCTAATACAACCCTACTTTGAGCCTTGAAAAGATGTCATTAGTGGTAGGAGGTGAAGTGTCGCAGGGAGAGGGATTCAGCCACTGCTAACTCAGCTCACAACCCCATGTGGTCCTGACCCCCACTTTGGGATGCCCTGCTCTAGCTTTAACCATGCATCAAAAATCCCGTATCCACCTGTGCAAATTTTCTGTTGCCTACAATTGGCAAGTATTCAATGGGAGTAAAATGGGCACCACTAGACTGATTTTTGACTGATAGAGCTGTCTCCTCTGCTTCCTATCAGGCTCCCAAGAAGCTTATCCGATACATGGACAACCAAGTGGTGAGCACCAAGGGGGAACGATACACTGAAGTCAAGAAAACTGAAAGTGAGGAAATGAAGAAAACCTACATCAACCTTAAACCTGCCAGGAAATATAAATTCCACTGAGATGCCAGTTGAGTGCTTCCTGCCAAATCCTCAGTCCCAGCATGGGCTAACTTCATTCCCTTGCTTCCTGTATCCAATACAGCTCAAGGATAAAATCCTTTTCCTTTAGAACTGGACAATGGGTGGGGTAAGAGTGCAAAGCATACATTTTCTCTTTCTTACAAAGGGGTCTATGTCACTCAACTACTAAGAACACTGATTTCCTTGTTAAGACCCCAGCACTTTTTTTTTTTTCCCACTGTACATCAATACTGTGAGCACTGCACTGTTGCAGCCTTGGGCTCTGCATCTGGTGGTATACAAATGCAATAACATTGTACAGCTGAATTCTGACACACTGCTTCAGAACAGCATTATCTAAACATAGCCTTGATGTCAATACTTCAGTAGTTTTTCTTTAACTCGCTTCCCATAGGATGTAAAGATTTGTGGGTTTGAATGGAGTATTTTGTTTAAAAATTGTCCCTCTGTCAATTGATTGGTCAAGCATGGGACACGTCACCAATCCATTGGTAATCTCAAACTGTTTTATTACTCTTTGTGCTCGCTTCAGAGGCTACTATGACCAACAGAGCACCTTTAAAGGAAAAGTAAAGTCATTTCATTCAGATGCCTCTAGCTGAAACTATACAGAGATGATCATTGAGCTTCCTTTGATAAATTGGTCCAGATGGGATTCACTTCTTGTTAGAGGAGCTAAAGACTGTATTTTTAATGAGGAAAGCTGCTTCCCTTTTAAAGAATTTATTGAGTGGAGTAGCCTAGTTGTTTTAAATTATTTTATATTAATAGAACTAAAATTAGGTTTGTTAGCAGGCTTACAATGGTTCATTAAAGAATAGGAGCAAGAAAGTTTGAACATGTTGCAGATGCACAGTGATCAGGATGAAAATTTTTCAGTAAACGTGGTCACATTGTGTCCAGAGCTATACCTCATCAGCTGGAATTTGGTTAACATATAATATTAGTATAGCACGTTAAAAATGAGGTGATTTTGTACATAATGATTGAAACAATGGGGGTGAGTTGAGGGTTGAGATGGTTTTGTTTTAATCACTGTACCTGTCTTTGAAAGAATATAGCAATCTGTAAAGAATTTGTACTGCTTTTATTATAATCTGTTCCCTTATGTTTACAGTGTGTATGATGTTCTGTGGTACTACTGTTCACACCCAGTAAATTTGCTGTGTTGTTTCTCAGTAATAAAATGGGTTTTAATAGTTTTGCTATCAGCATGCTGCCTGGTATTTTTCATGTCCTTCAAGGAAAAGGACCTTCCTCATTGAGCTAGTTTGAGCCAACACGTCACTTCAGGTACACACTGTTGGCTCTGATAGCCTAGTAGCAAACTGCACTAGTGTACAAACAATCATTAGAAAGACACCTCATGGCATTGACAATATCGCTGTATCAGAACAATAACTGGTTTAAATCAGCATCCTTAATTAAGAATGTTGTTGGCAAGTACTGTGGTTCTTGAGCTCAATTATTCAGGTGAGAAAATAAACTTTAATGACGTTTTCCCAGGATGTTCCCAAGTGATTCATAACCACAACACCTTTCTTTTGCATCAGCTATTTATTGGCAAACAAAGGCAGCCAATTTGTGCACAGTGTTCATAGACAGCAGTGACCAGGACTGAAAGTTGGTCAGGATCTCCAGCCTTTTGGAAACATTAGTCAGGATATCAGAGAGAACATCTGTAATCTTTCATGGCCCATCTGAAAACCATATAACTAACTGTTTAGCTTGCCTTCAATGCTGCATAGTAGTTTCAGCTTTGATTATGTCTCAAAGTACTGGAATGGGGCATGGATCCACAGCCTTCTTATGATATGTTTTTTAAAAAAGCATACATTTGTGCATTTCAGTTCTAAAATAGCTTTACAATAAATTCCTTAACGCTAAAAATATTCATGTCAACATCATTGTATGTACATCTATCAGTCTTCTCAGATGAGGCAAAGGAACAGTATCAGAAATGATACTGACTACTGAACTTGACTAGAGAAGCTGACATTCGCCAGGCAGATAAGATTAGGGGAAATTTACAGGATATTTAAGGTTGAGAGGGTTTCAAAGAGTAAATAAAAAACTTGTTTCTACTGGCAGGATCATTAGTAATAAGAGTATACTGACTTAAATACAAATACAGAAAATGCTAGAGAAATTCAAGTCGAGCAGTATCTCTGTCTACTGAGGCTAACGTGACTCTTTATGAATAGTAATACCAGACTCAAAACATTAACTGTTTTTCTCTCTCCACAGACAGTGCTAAACCTCTTGAGTTTCTCCAGCATTCACAGTAACTTGCCTTTAACTGATTTAAGGTAATTAGCCAAAAGAAACAGAGGAGATATTGAGAAATTTCTTTTCTTCTTACACGAGTTATGATCTGGAATGTGCTGCCTGAAAGAGTGCTGGAAGCAGATTCAATCACCACGTTCAAAAGTATAATATATACTTACTCAAAGGACAGCTTTGCCGAGTCTCGGGGAAGGTGCATAGGAGGTGGGATAGGTTACATCTTGTAGTTAGTGTGTTTTATGTCTCCCTTTAAGCGGTAAATCACAGGGACTGGCATGTGTGCAATGCATCAAATAGCAGCCCCCTCCTTAGTCTGATCCTGGGGATGCCTTTTAGAGCTGACATCAAAAATGGTTACAAATGGCTGCAAAGAATAGGAATTACCTGGAGCTCAGAGTTGCTTGGTGCTTTATTTGGGCCACTCTGGAACTATGGCCAATGTTGGAAATGCTGTGGGTGGTTCTGTGCCACCTATTATGGAATCAGTGTTAACTGATCAGCCATCACCAAATTGAAAGGCCTACTCCTAACAGGAAGCATCATGTAAATCCAACATGCTACTATTAGGGATCAGTTATTAAAGACTTAAACTAGTGTGGGGTAAGTTGATTGCCTTTCCAAATTTTAAAAGTGTAGACAGTGAAATAGTTCCTGAAGAAGGTGAATTTAAGACCCAAATTCACAGTATAAAGAGGGGGATCAAGATAACTTTGTGAAAAGGTAGATAGAATAGAATCCCTACAGTGCAGAAACAGGCCAATCAACCTAACCTGCACATCTTTGGACTGTAGGAGGAAACCCACACAGAATGTGCAAACTCCACACCGACAGTTGCCTGAGGCTGGAATTGAACCTGGGTCTTTGGTGCTGTGAGGCAGCAGTGCTAACCACTGTGCTGGTAGATGGGGTATTGCTACAAGTGGATCTTGAAGCTCAACTGTCTGTTCCAAGAAAATCAGTGAGACCAACTCTATGACCATAACTTCACTACCAAATTATTTCCCAAGCTATTAACAGTAGGGAATTTTCTGGCTTAAGTGTGAGTTCTAAAGCCAGGCACAGCTCACTTCTAACTTCACTCCAAGATACAAAAAATAATCTTGTTTCAATTGTTCCAGGATGCTCCTGTCCCCCTGACGAATTCGCTGGTGTCTCAACTCTTGCATCCTCTATTGTGCAGGGTTTACACATCTATGTGTGTGTCTCCTCTGCCACTTGCATGATTTGAAAGTCTCCAATCCCCATCAACTTTTCACTGTGGACATCCAGTCCCTCTCCAAACTGTCCTCAAGGGTAGCCTGTGGTTCTTCCTTGAACGTGTCCAACCATTTGCCACCACCTTTTTTTATCCCAGCCAAAAATCCAACCTTAAATGATTTTGAACACTCGCTGCAGGTGAAACATGTTAAGATGTAAACCTGTCTTTTTGCAGGATGTAATAAATGCACTTGGTCCTGAGTTTACTCAGGCCCCCTTTCTAACCTTACCCGTCGCATCAGTAATTTTGATAAATAAATTTATTAACTCTGCTTCAAATTAACACAGTCACTTTCACATACCTCTGTTGCTATGCCTTCCATTGACTATTATTACTAGTCATCAGCTATACTGTACTATCTATAAATACTCCACCTGTTACCTTGCAGATCACATAACCTCTTTTAAGAATAACCTCTTAAATAGAATAAATACTTGGACCTTTTTAGATGAGTCAGATAGACAGGACCGTTGATTCACTGTTAATGTTCAGTCTGTAAACAGAAGTAATACCATCGCAGTCCACATAGCCACACACAATATACAGTACCAAAAATCATTTACAAAGGAATGTAGTCTCAATGACTCTACACCACAGCAACCCACACCTGAACAAGGTGTCAGTAACTGGTGTCGATTCCATCCAATATCACACTGAGCAATGAGTTATTGCAATGGTGATACTGCAACATTTGACAAAGGATTAGCAGTTCACTGCTGAAATATTATACCATCTACTTTAATTGAAGTTTACGTAACCACTATGAGTTTTGAGTGCATGTATGTGTTTAGGGGGAAGGGGAACCAGTTCAGCTGAATAGTTTAGATCTGAAGATTGATAAATGGAGCAACACCCACAACATCCTGCAGAAGGACAAGTGCTCGCTGGAGCGGTGGCTGCACGTCAATGTCCACTCCTCTCTTGCGCAAAACTTCTAAACTCCTTTCAGTGATGTTATGACAATGGTTCACTTTCAGTGAGTGGAGTTTCGTGCAATATTCTGCAACTGTCCTGGAAAACACAAGGAGTTGGAAGTCTTTTCTAGTACAGATCACAGGTACAGCATGTCACAAAACCACTGACTATGAAGGAGGGGAAAAAAGAACTAGCATTTGTTAAATGACATTTTTTCCATACAACAGCAGCTGCATTTCAAATCAAAGGAAAAGCACAATCTTTATCAAAATGCTATTGGTTTACAAACACTTCTTGTTTTTTGTTGGATTGTGAAAGCTCAGAATAAAACTTCAGGTGGAAATTTTCACCATATCTTAATTTAAGCAAGAACTAGCTCAGGAGGACTCCCATCTATTTCCCATGCGATGATTTGTTGGTGTAATATAATTCCCTAGATCCTGGAATCCTGAAGACAAGCAGCGCTGTGGTGATCTGGTCTGTACCTGCCCAGGACCCATTTCCATGAGAAGTTACTGATTAACCTGTAGCAACATTGGGTGTTTTTGTTTTCCCTCTCCAGACCCTGGGGACAATTATTTATTGCTATTGATCTTGTCACACCTACTATAAGCTGATTCTCACACCCCAATACCACCCGCAATGGTACTGTCAGACCCTACCCATCCTCAGTGCTGTAATACTGTTCTGAACCTAATGTACAACCTGAGCTTCATTTTTATTTTTAGTACATTTACTTCAAGAAAACAAAGTGTGCAGATTTCAGACTAGTTGTACTGAGAAGGTAATGGATCTGATACAAACCAGTGGTTTGCAAGGCCATTTCAGACAGAAGTTGACTGGAATCACATGATACCAGAGCAGGTAAGGACGGCAGATTTCCCTCATTGAAAGACATTAATGAATGAACAGTTTCAATGAACAGGGTCACTTTTTATTGACTCAAATTTTTCCAAATGCTTTTAAACTCCATCAAGATGGACAGATTGAGAACTTGCTTCTGATCATTTTCTTTATTCTTTCATATGATGCGGGCATTGCTGACAGGGGCAACATTTAATATCTATTCTTAATTGCCCTTGAAAATAGTGACTTGCTCAGCCATTTCAGAAGGCAGTTAAGAATCAGACACATGTAGACCAAACTGAGTAAACAGCAAATTTCCTTCCAAGAGTGTTAGGGAAGCAGATGGGTTTTTATAACAATAGTAACTTAGTTACCAATACTGAGACTACCTTTCAGTTCCAGATTCATTACCTGAATTCACTTGAAATACCAATTTCTGGGGCAGAATTTGACCCAATGTCCCTACAGTATTAGTCTGGGCCTCTGGATTACTAGGCCAGTGACACTACCATTATGCCATCTTCTCCCAACTGTGAATCCAAAATTGTAAATAACTTATCCATTGTACACATTTCTAACAATTGGTTTGCACACCCTAATCTATTTATGGAGGGACACTTTACTGAAGTCCAGAAGATTTGAAGTTCAGACCTTTGCTCTTTACCTCATGCACTCATTCCTAAGGCGGAGACAGCCAGTCAGATCAAGGTGTTCTAGCTCACTGCACTGTTTCGCCACCTCCTGCACCGAGATATCACTGAGGTTTGCGTTGACCGCTAGAGACAGCGACCTGATCTTTCGACACTTCCGGACAAGGTAACAGACGGCTTCATCGTTCAGCTGCTTGCAGGCGGTCAGGTCAACTGACAGAAGCTGGCAGCAGCGATCAGCCAGACTCCGCAGGGAGAGGGGATCCACCCAGTCGCACTGCCTGAGGGAAAGGTGCTGCAGGTTGGGGCAGCTCAGGGACAAGGCGACCAGAGACCGTCGGCTCAGACCTCGGCAGCCTGTGATGTCAACCTTCTCCAGGTGATGATTTTGACCAATCACCGGCAAGAGCTCACTATCCGTCAGCCAATCAGAGCAGCTCCCTACCATCAGGTGGTGAAGTACCGTGTTGTCTTTCAGTATTTTGCAGAAAGCGTGTTGAGGGATGGCAGTCCCGACCTGAACTCAAATGAAAGGAAGAAAGAAAAGGAGTAAATATTTCTAACCCTCTCGTTTCGCCCCTCAAAAACTCCACCAATCATTCCGTACTGGCCCAAATTCCTCCTGTCACTTGCCGGTTACCCAAGGTGATGTAAATGCTAGTGTTCTATTCACCACACAAACCTCCTCCCTCTTCATTGGGATATCCCTCTACTGCCTTCATTTGTTTATGCAGCTTCCCAGTAAATGGCTAAAGATCCTGCTATTCCCCATTCACCACATCAGGAAGGTGCAGTACAGGTGAAATCTAGGACCTACCACTTTGATGCAATGCGAAGTCCAGAGTTGGCAGCCTTTTTATACATCCCCAGCGCCCTCCATCAGCTCCTGTTTGTGATAAACTGTGTAAAGCTAAGTCTCAATCAGTTAACAAAGGTGAGTGGCATCAAATTCCCAAAACATTCAGTATTCACAAGGTGTAGAGCTGGATGAACACAGCAGGCCAAGCAGCATCATAGGAGCAGTTCCTACCATCTCTGATACAGTATTCACAAGGGTTACTGCACTCCATATTGTCTCAATAACAGCAGGACGCCTTGCTAAGGCCACAATCCCACTGTGAAATAAATAAGTGAAAGATAGCTTCCCTGTTATTTTTTTCATGTTGGTTATTTCTAATAATTCTCCAATTCTTTCGGCCACTGCACTGGCCACTTCCATTTAGAAGTACCCTGTTCTTGAACCGGATCGCAAAATTCTCTGGATACCAAGACTCATCACTCAGGCTGTCCTGCAGTTTGGAACAAAGCAATTCTATCAATCTCTTCGTTAAGACTGATGTGGTGTTGTATGGTAATCACCAATGCCTGGCAAAACATCTCTCTCCCTGCAGTATACATAACAACAGAGCCATACCCAAGCCCTAATCAGAAGCAAACTTTCATGTGGTGAACTCTTAACCCCTTGATCCCCTAACTCCAAAGAGCTGATGACTGGAAACAAGAGAAGAAAATAGAATATTCCACCTTTCCCATGTGGCACAGTCCTGATTATAAAGTCAGAGAATCTAATAGCACATAGGGAGACCATTCATCCCATTACAATTATGCCAGCTCTTTGGAACAGCAATCAAATCAATCTCGTCCCAGTGTTCTCTCACCATTTTCTGCAACTGTTCTCTTTTTCAAGTTTAGATCCAATTTTTTTTTCTGAAAACCACAACTTATTTTGCCCTCCTGCCCCCACAACCCCTCCTCACTTTCAGATAGTGAATTTCAAATCAGCAATATGACCCTGGCCAGTAGTAAGCTTCCCAACCCACTGTCCATTCCCCTGCTGAAGAACTATTCACAGGAGCTAGTAGGTAGGCGCTGTGTCCCCAGCAAGTTACCTGCGAGGTGTCCAGAGTGTGGTAGTTTGCCAAGTAAAGCTGGATCAAGGTGTGGAACTGTTTGCTAACCCGTTGCAGGCAGACCAGCTGGCACAGCGGGAGGTGGCACAGGACATGAGGAACCAGCACATCCTCCCAGGGCAGCTCCAAAAGCTGGCACCTAGATTGAAAGAAAGACAGTGTGAAGCAGGAACGAGATACAGTGGTTGCCCAATTGGAATCCAGCAGAGAACAACCTTATTACATATCCTAATGATGTCCCAGAGCACTGAATGCCAATGGATTACTTCTTCGAAGATTCCAGTCACTGCAGCCAAATTGATAGAGGATCCCACAAACAACAATGAGACAAGTGCCTGGTTAACTTGCTTTTTGAATATGTTGGTGGAGGGAAAAGCATCATGCAATGTCTCAGCAGGCAGCAACAACATGTGAAGCACATCAGAAGATTTATACAAAAGGCTATGGATGTCTGGGTTGATGCAAAGGCTGAAATCTAAGCACCAGATCTAGACATTCTTTCCCCAATTTTAACTGCTATATATATATATTACTTTGTCCACAAACCCAGAGGACTCTCATAGCCTCCCCTAAATGTCAATGTACGTGCCATTGTACCATAGGATATATCACAACTTTGGCGTCAGGACATCGGGTGGGTGAAGGCAGCACATTTCTTAAATGTGAGAGATTGGAAAGTATTGATGTACTCAGGCTCGGAATTCTTCAGTGACTAACTCACCTCCTGACTCCCCAAGGCCTATCCACCATCTATAAGGCATAAGTCAGAGTGTGATGGAACACTCCTAACTTGCTTAGATGAGTGCAGCTCCAACAACACTCAAGTAACTTGACACCATCCAGTACAAAGCAACCCACTTGATTTGCACCACATCAACAAGCATCCATACCGTCAACACCAATGCTTCAGGAGCAGCAGTGTGTACCATCTACAAGATGCACTGCAGATTTTCACCAAAAATCCTTAGAAAGCACCTTCCAAACCCACAACCACTTCCATCTAGAAGGACAAGGGCACGAGAACACCACCAACTCCAAGCCTCTCACCATCCCAACTTGGAAATATATTGCTGCTATTCCTTCACTGTTGCTGTTCCAGGCCAAAATCCTGGAATTCTCTTTCAGATGGCATTGTGGGTCATCCTTCAACACATGTTCAAGAAGACAGCTCACCACCACCTTCTTCAGGCCAACTAGGGACCACTGTACGGATTCTATATTGCAGATGGAGGAAGACAAACGGTACTGGAGCATAGTGTACATTTTTGGTCCCCTTATCTACAGGAGGATATATTGGTCATAAACAGCAGAGATTAACGAGATTAATCCCTGGGATGGCAGAATTATTCTTTTGAGGAGAGATTGAGAAAACTACCTGTATTCTCTAGAGTTTTGAAAAGCTTTACAGAATTGCTACAGGGTTCAACAGGGTAGATATAAACAGGATGTTGCCCTGGCCATTTAGGATTGAGGTGAGGAGGAATTTCCTCTCAGGAGAATGCTGAATCTCTGAAGATCTCTATCCTAAAGGGCTGTGATAATCAATCATTCGCAGGTTCAAGACACAAAATCTCAAGATTTTTGGATACAATTGCCATCAAGGGATATGGAGATAATGCAAGGTAGCGGCACTGCGGGAGGCACTCAGCCATGAACTAACTAAATGGTGGAGCAGGATCAATGGGCTGAATGGCCTACTTGTGTTTCTTTGTGGCCACCCCTGATAACTACCCAGGAGGAAACATGGCCCCTGCAGGAAAGGGCGTCGAATTGAACCGTGTGCCTGCACTCACTCACTAAGCTGTTTCTCAGCCAGCTCAGTGACACAGATATCACACCCTCCAGCTCGTGGAGGTTGGCATTTGTGTGACAGCCTTCAAGTCCCCTCAGCGCTTCCCTGTTACATCTGAGGCTCAGTCTGCTGTCTCCAAGGTCCTTCCCAAACAGTCTCACTCACGCTGCCAAATAAAAAACGAAAGAACTGCGGGTGCTGTAAATCAGGAACAAAAACAGAAGTTGCTGGAAAAGCTCAGCAGGTCTGGTAACATCTGTGAAGGAAAAAGTAGAGTTAACGTTTCGGGTCCAGTGACCGGTTCCGAAATGTTAACTCTGTTTTTTCCTTCACAGATGCTGCCAGACCTGCTGAGCTTTTCCAGCAACTTCTGTTTTTGTCACTCACTCTGCCTCCTGGCTGCTGAATGCCCTTGCCAGGAGAAAAGATCCTGATCCTGGAAAAATCACTGCAGGAATTCTTATCATAGCCACCAATGCCACTCTCAGGCCTATAGAAACAGGAAGATATTGGCAGTGGCGAGTAACTGGTTTAGCCACAACAGGCAGGGGGATGGTCTGAAGAGCAGAGCTGGTAACCAAGCTAATGAACACACAGAGTCATTCGGTAGTACAGAGGATTGCTGAAAAAGGGTGTTTTGTCAAAGCTTTTTGTTTTGCACTCATCAAGACATTTTGCAAGAATACAAATTCAAGAGGAAAACCAACATTTATACTGCACGAGAGGAGACTGCTTACTGGGTGGCATGTGGACTGTGGAGAATATACAGCTAACAGCCAGGCTTTGTTTAAAATTTAAACCAGATAGGTTGACTCTGATTGGTTCATTTCTTTGCTAAGTAGTGCCCTAAGAATGACTGTTTTGTTGAGTTGAAACATGTTCAGCATTTGTTCATGCTCTGTTTGCAAAGGACTGGGCCCTGTATATTGATACATATAGCTTCCAGCATGTAGGTGCATCACACCGAGACCGATTGATGATCTTAAATTGGCTGTCAGCATATCGTAAAGAATTAAAATACACCAAAGCCTTCACTACAAGTTTGCTTCACTGACACTCAGACAGGATTGATGGAGAAATGTGGCACTGAGAGTTTTACAGCAGGTTTTCCATTATTTTAAGTATTTGTCCAGTAGTTGGGTCAGCAATTCACTTTGGTTGAACATGAATATTTACCACTTTTTAAACAATTATATAAACACAAGCAAAAAGGTGAGGGCACCAATGCAGCAAAATATGATCAATTATATGCAGAGACATTAACATCAGGAGAAAAGAGAAAGTGAGACTAGCTTCAGAGTAAAATGGTTCAGAGGCATTCAAGACTGTAAGGTTTTGATATAGTAAATCTGCTTGCCTGAATGGGCACATCTCCAACAACACTCAAGAAGCTAGTCATCATCTAAGACAATGCAGCCCGCTTGATAGGCACTCCATCAAGCACTTTAACATTCACTCACTCCCTCCCTCCTCCACTGATGCACTGTGACAGTGTACAACATCAATAAGACGTACTGCAGCAACTCACCTAGGGTCCTGAGACAGAACCTGCCAAAACTGCAATCACTAACACCCAAAAGAACAAGAGTAGCAGCTACAAGGGAACACTACCATAGAGTCATAAGAGCTGTACAGCATGGAAACAGATCCTTTGGTCAAACCTGTCCGTGCCGACAATAAATCTAGTCCCATTTGCCAGCATTTGGCCCGTATCCCTTTAAACCCTTCCTATTTATATACCCAACCAGATGCCTTTTAAATGTCGTAATTCTCCCTCTACCACTTCCTCTGGCAGCTCATTTCAAACATGCACCAACCTCTGCATGAAAAAGCTGCCCCTTAGAACCCTTTTAAATTTTTCTCCTCTCACCTTAAACCTATGCCCTCTAGGTTTGGACTCCCCCACCCCAGGGAAGAGACCTTGTCTTTTCACCCTACCCATCATGATTTTCTAAACTTCTTAAAGGTCACCCCTCACCCTCTGATGCTCCAGGGAAAATAGCCCCAGCCTTATTCAGCCTCTCCCTATAGCTCAAACTCTCCAACCCTGACAACATCCCTGTAAATCTTTTCTGAACACTTTCTAGTTTCACTACATCCTTCCTATAGCAGGGAGACCAGAATTGCATGCAATATTCCCAAAGTGATCTAACCAATGCCCTGTACAGCCGCAATATGACCTCCCGACTCCTTTACTCAATGCATTGACCAATAAAGGCAAAAATAACCAAATGGCTTCTTCACTATCCTGTCTACCTGCAACTACAGTTTCAAAGAACTATGAACCTGCACTCCAAGGTCTCTTTGTTCAGCAACACTCCCCAGGATCTTACTATTAAGTTTATAAGTCCTGCCCTGATTTGCCTTTCGAAAATGCAGCATCTCACATTTATCTAAATTATATTCCATCTGCCACTCCTCGGCCCATTGGCCCATCTGATCAAGATCGTATTGTACTCTGAGGTAACCTTGTTTGCGGTCCACTACACCTCCAATTTTGCTGTCATCTGCAAACTTAGTAACCATATGTTCTATGTTCATATCCAAATCAACCACCTGTGAATTCCCCCCCAAAATCTCACACCATCCTGACTTGGAAATACATCACTCCTTCACAAGTCAAAATTCTGGAATTCTACTCCTACACCACATGGACTACAGCAATCCAAGAAGGCAGCTCACCACCATCTTCTCAAAGATAATTAGGAATGAGCAACAAATACTGACCTAGCCAGCAACACCCATACCCCATGAAAGAAGCCTAAAAGAAAGAAAAACTTTTTCCACTGGTCAGTGAGGTGAGTAGCTAAAGTCAATGCCAAAAGAACAGAAAGCTTCAAAGTGACAGCGGTTGTTATGATATGGGCAGTAACAATAAAGGAGAATCCAGAATGGCTCTTAGTTAAGGAAAACATACAAATTAAGAATGGAAGGCCATTCTCCCCCTCAAGCCTTCTCCACCAAGTGATAAGATCATGGATGATCTGATCATGGCCTTAACCCATATACCCACCTACAGCCCATAACATTTTGATTCCCTTGTCAATCAAGAATCTTGAAAATATTTTTAAAATTCTTGAATTTAAAAGAGATATTCAATGACTGTGCCTCCACCACTTTCAAGGGAGAATTCCACAGACACAACCCTCAAGAGAAAAAGATTCCTATCTTCATTTTAAGTGGGAAACCCTTTATTTTTACAATTCCCTGCTGGGGGAACCATTTCGTAAATTAAGATTTAAAAGCTGACGGGGAATAGCAGAAAGGAGGAATTGTTCTTTTAGCTCTTGCGTGCTATGTAACACCAGGTATAATCAGGTACCATCACATCATTCTCACTGTAGGACAAACAGGATGTTCTACTGTAAAATGCCCTTTACCTGGTGGAGTTCACTTGACAGCAAGTGCTTAATCCCATCAGAC